AATAATCCACTACTTAATATAATGCCAGTCATAAATTTTTAGTATCCCACTGCAATAACCTATAGCATTTTCCATATTTCATTACCTCCAGCAGCCATTTTCCAGTACTCCATTAGCAAATTCCATATTATACTAGAATATTTGAGAACTGATGTGTATCTATAAATAAAGCCTTTTTTTAAAAAAGAAGCAGCTTTGAAAAGAGAAGAGTAGAATGGGGGAGGAGACGAAGCTCCAGGAGAAATGAATGAAAATGCAAGTAATTCAGAGGGTTTGGGAAGACAAAGTTGGGTGGAACTGAATTCCTGGATGAAGGAAACAGAAGGAGCAGCCATCTTGCCTCCAAGCAAAGTCTCAAGTGAATGAATTCCACTGCAGGCGAGGTTTTGATGAGACGAACTTGGTGACAGTGCTCTCTGCTTTACATAAGGATGGAGCGGGAGAGAACTGACAGCTCCAACATCTTCAGAGCCCTAGGGCAGTCTTATCCAGAAAGCAGAAAACAAATTGTCAGTCTCACAAAAGCAACACAAATGGAAATACAGCAAGGAGGAGCTGGAGGTTGAGAGAGAATAAGAAGAGCAAAGCAAAAGGCCAAGGTACTCTGCATGAACTCATCCCCTCGATGCCAAATGCTGTTGGCTAATTAATTGGGCTTAGTCTACCACAGGGTAAGTTTTTTTCTGCCTATACATTTTTTTTCTGAGAATGCCTCTCCTCCCCTTTCACTCTGTCAACCTCTCTCCCCGTGTGCTGCAAATAGAAGGATGGGAGATCAGAATCAGAACAGAGCTGGAAGGGACCTTGGAGGTCTTCTAGTCCAACCCTCTGTTCAAGCAGAAGATCCTATGCCATTTCAGACAAAGGACTGTCCAATCTCTTCTTAAAAATCGCCAACGATGAAGCACCCATCACGCCTGAAGACAAGCTGTTCCGCTGGTTAATTGTCCTCATTTTAGGAAGTTTCTCCTTAATTCCAGGTTGCTTCTCTCCTTGATTAGTCTCCATCCATTGTTTCTTGTCCTGCCTTCTGGTGCTTTGCAAAATAAGTTGACCCTCGCCCTTCTTTGGGGACAGCCTCAAATACTGGAATACTGCTATTGTCCTCCCTCCCCTAGTCCTTCTTTTCTCTAGACTGGCCATACCCAAATGCTGCAGCCATTCTTCATATGTGTTAGTCTCTAGGCCTTTAATCGTCTTAGTTGCTCTTCTTCGCACTTTTTCCAAAGTACAAAATCCATCAAAATCAAATCCGTCTTTGGTAAGAGCTGCAACCCATTGGTTGCAGGTCAGTTGTTGGCAGGTTATCTGACAAAGGACAGCTCGGTCCTGATTAGTGTTTCAACCTTAGCAATTTTAAGATGGTCAACCTTCAGCTCCCTATATTCCCCAAAGGAGAAAAGGTGGAGGAAACATGAAGGTGAAGGAGAAGGTGGAGGAGAAAAGTAAAGAAGGGAAGGGAAGGGAAGGGAAGGGAAGGGAAGGGAAGGAAAGGAAAGGAAAGGAAAGGAAAGGAAAGGAAAGGAAAGGAAAGGAAAGGAAAGGAAAGGAAAGGAAAGGAAGCCTGAAATAATATTTTCTTTGGAGCCTGAGAGATGTTATTGAGGTGAATTAAAATACTGTTTATGGGGAAATAAAAATTGATTAAACAAATTCGCACTTCCATTTCAGCTTCTCAGGATTTACCAGCATCCTTGGTTTTGTTTTTCCCTGCACCGCTCTCTTGCTTTGTTTGCCAGGCTGATTCCTCTGTCTTCCTGTGTTGTCTTTTAAATTCAGGTCCAACCCTTTCCCAAGACTATGAGTAAAACTGACACGAGGCATCAAGTCAGACTGTTGGGCAGACTTCCAGGAAAACCTTCTCCAGTCATGCCAACTCAAGTTTATTTCATCAGAGGGGCCGGCAACTGAACTTGGGTGAGAGGATTTTGCTGGCCATAACTAAAACTAAACATCTTTCTGGGAATAAATGAAAGTTGCAACTCTCAGTGAGTTTTTTTTTTTTTTTTACTATAACAACTAGGGAAGTTATTAAACAAGACACAGCCCTAAATATAGTAGAAGCAATGTTCAATCTTGGTGTCTCTTTCTTCCTTTGGTATGGCCTAACACAAGGGTGTCACTCAAGGCCCAGGGGTCAGATCTGGACCACAGGGCCAACCTGGACACAGTGAAAGATTGGCCCATGGTACCTCTGAAAGCAAAAAGGGAGCTTGCAAGGGCCCATGCGCAGCTTCCCCAAGCTCCGTTTTCACTGCCGGAGGGCTGCAGGAGGCTGTTGCAGCTGAAAACAGAGCTTGGGAGCCTGTTTCTGCTGGCAGAGTGCTCGGACCACCACAGGTGCTCCCCAACACAAGTGACATCATGCTGGCCATGCCCCCCCCAGCCACACACACACCTGCCCCCCTAACCTGATGCGGCCCTCAATGAAATTGAGTTTGACAGCCATGGCCTAACAGGATGATAGCTTCAAACTTTGAGTCTGGAGGAGCAATCTGCACAATGCTATTGCACTGTACTGCACGAAGGGAAGTCTTCTTCCAATAATACCTGTCTAGTTAATAAGATTGTAAAACAGACTCATACCAAGTCCCTTTCTCAGGAACTGTTATAGCAATAGCCCTTAGACTTACAGTATTTATATACGGCTACACAGTGTTTATAGCTGTTTACAGCCCTCTTTAAGTGGTATAGAGTCAGCCTATTGCCCCCAACAATCTGGGTCCTCATTTTACTGACCTAGAAAGGATGGAAAGCTGAGTCAACCTTGAGCCGGTGAGAATCAAACTGCTGGCAGTCAGCAAAATTAGCCTGCAATATCACTGTCTAACCACTGCATCACCATAAGTGTATATTGCTACTGCAAATGGAAAAATGATATCCATGCATCAAAGCTGGCAATTGCCAGAGTCCAGAACAACTCAATGAAGTTATTCTCTTCCAACCCATAGAATAACTGACTTCACCCTCTGCTATAAGACACATTTTCTATTTCTCTTAATATTCCCAGCAATGGGACCACAGCACATTCTCTCTTGTACCCACCCTCTTTCCTAGACAAGCTACAAAGAAAAATGATATCCATGCAAGAGGTAGGCTATTGATGTTATAATAAGCACCAAATTTAAAATTGTAGTTCAGAACTAATTTTTCCTTTAAAAAATAATTAAGACAATCTGTACTTCAGCAGGAGGAAAACGTAGATTATTTGTTTTAGCTTGGTTAGCAAGATATTTATCTCATTATAAAGGCTTGTTAAGTTTCTCAGTCAATGTTTCTAGTGAGCTGGAGATCTCGGGAGTTTGGAGAAAAGCAGATTTAAATTTCTGCAAAGCAGGCACATGATTATTATTAGCAGAAAGACTGCCAACTGCTCCAGCTGACATTGTCCTTTATGAGTATGGATTACAAGTTTTCACGCCATATTTATCCCAAAGCTATCAGTTATTGTGATTTTAATACTACTCTTACAACTTTGTTTTTTCTAAACCTTAACCATTGAGATCATGGCCAAGCCAACATTTACCCAGACCCAGTACTTTTAATTTTCAATTTTGTCTGGAAAGAATTACTGTTTTTCCCCAACTTATCGCTGGTACCTCTCCTGACAGATGTTTTTAAAAAGACCTTGGGCTGCATGGTTATTTCCATAACTTCATTCTTACAAATGCCAGTTGGCTGCATTCTTATTGGCCCAGGACAGGACTCAATCCTCTTAATCAATTGCTAGAATTAAGAGGTCATATACTAAGGGAAGTTGCTTTGTTCTCTAGGAAACATATGTGTTTTGTTACTGTACACACATTAACAATTTGTGAGGGACATTCCATGAAAAAGGGGAGAAGGTTCCCACTGGGTCACAAAGGTTCATCTGTCCAACATACAGTGATACCTAGGTACTCAGCTGCTTTGAAACTCATCAAAGTTGGTATTCAACACATTTTGATGTGAAAATGTTGTTCTGGTATTCATTATTTGTTAATACTCAACACACAAGCTCGAATTTGTCGGTATCAGCTGTCTTGTGACTCACTACATTATTCCTTATGGGAAAAAATGTTTGGTACTCATTATTTTTGGTTCTCATTGCACCTCCTGGAACCAATGAATGATGAGTACCAAGGTACCACTGTATTTCATCCTGTTCAAATCAATATTGTCTCACCAAGAAGATACAGTACAAGACCGCATCTCACCAGTGTTGATCATTTATAACTGATTTTCTAGGGCAGGTTACATTATGTCCGACATTTCGCTCTCATGACTGATAAACATTCATAGATTGCTTCCTCCCAAATGAATAGACACATGGTCCTCAACTTATGGCCACAATTGGGACCAGAAAATTTGATGTTAAGTGGTACAATTAAGCAAGACATCATATGACAACAACTTATATGACCTTCCCTGGTAGCTTCCCTATTGACTTTGCTTGTCAGAAGCTGCCTGGGAAGGTCACAAATGACTATCACATGACTGCAGGATGTTGCAATCATTGTAAGTGTGAGTTGGCTGCTATACACCCAAATTGTGATCACATGACCCCAGGGACACTGTGCCAGGTAAGTTTGAAGACCTGTCATAAGTCACTTTTTTCAGCACCATTGGAATTTATAATAATTATTACATGAATGGTCGTAAGTTGAGGACCATCTGTATCTCATTTACTTTTGGAGTCTCCCATCTAGGTGAGTAGGGACACTTCTTCCTCAGTGTTTCAGTTCATCATGTCCATCAATCAATATCCCATAATGTTCCCTTTAAACCACGGGTGTCAAACTGGTGGTTTACGGGCCGATGCGTCACATGCAGGCCACGATTACCCTAGCTCCATGAAGGGAAAAAGTTACCGGTTTGCAAAGATACCCTTGGAAATAACTCTGAGGTTGGGTCTTTAGCATCTGGAGTGCCAGTCTTTGACTCATAGGTTTTTTGTTTTTTTTCCCCAGACTGGGTTAAACGTCCATCTAAGTATCGAATGCAGTAAAAGTCACACTTACGTCACTGAGTCTCTCTCTCGAACTGCTCCGACGGAAGCCTTTCGATTCTCCGCTTGCACTTTCACTGTCACTGTCTCGGCAGCTGTTTTGCCCTGGATTAAGCTGCAGAACGAAAGTAAGAAATGAAAGTTTACAGACTGTCTAAGAAAGATATTTGAAGGCATCCATTCTAGCCTGGAAATTAAAGCACGCTGGTCGCTCTATCAAACCATTTGTTTTGGACACAGTAATTTCGTTGCCTAAGGCAAGAGGCGAAATAGCATCCACTCACAGATGTTAATTGAAACTCCCCCCCCCCCAATTTTAATAATGATTTGTCCAGCAATTTGAGCATAGTTTGAGGGTGAAAGGAAGCTTATGTGGCAGACTCAGATCTATCCACTCTGCCTGAGATACCTGTGATTCCGAAGCACTATTCAGGATCACCTGAGCACACAGAGAAACCTCCAAGTGGTCTCTCAGAGGGAGTGCTAATGACCAGATGACTGCAAGGAATATAAATAGCAATAGCACTTAGACTTATATACCACTTCACAGGGCTTGTCAGCCCTCTCTAAATGGTTTATCCCCAACAATCTGGGTCCTCACTTTACCAATCTCAGAAGGATGGAAGGCTGAGTCAACCTGGAGCCTGGTGAGATTTGAACTGCCAAATTGCAGGCAGCGGGCAGGCAGCAGAAGTAGCCTGCAGTACTGCACTCTAACCACTGCATCGCTGTGGCTCATGGTGGTTCCATTCCCCACTGAAGAAGCTTTTGGATGAGAAACAAAACATCTTCAAGGAAAAACAAAGGAAGTCCAGTTGCCTTTTGAAAAAGCACCTTTGGTACAACCATGGTCTAGATGACTACAGACTTGTATTCCTCTTGCTTCCTGATAGACCAGCTCTGGACTTGGGCAAATGTGACTGAACACATGGAACTAAATTCTGATAGTCCACTTTCATCACTAATACCACTAGACGAAATCTCTAGGGCTCGCTGCCTTAGAACAGTGAGGAAAATCCTCAGGGATGACTCACACCCTGGGCAGCACTTCTTTACCCTCCTACCATTGGGAAGGAGATATAGAAGCATAGCCAGTCACACAAACTGGCTAAAGAACAGTTTTCATCCATGGGCTGTCAGACACCTGAATGCAAAATAACATCACAACTATGTAATACGATAGACTTGCGAGGCCAGCACAACCAGAGGTGGTATTTAGCAGCTTCTGGCTAGTTTTGGAGAACCGATAGCAGAAACTTTGAGTAGTTCGGAATATCACCTCTGACTGGCCCCACCCCCATCTATTCTCTGCCTCCCAAGTCTCAGCTGATTGGCTGGGTCTTCTTTTGTTGCCCTGCACAGGAGAACGGAGCTGGAAAGCAGGTTAGTGGGGTGGGGAGAGGATGGCGATTTTGCAATAACCTTCCCCTGGAGCGAGGTGGGAATGAAGATTTTACAATATCCATCCCCTGCCATGCCCACCAAGCCATGGTCACCAATCCACACCATGCGCACAGACCAGTATTAAAAAAAATTGAATCCCACCACAGGGCGCAACATGCAATATGTTCAGATTGGTGCAATAGGATTGTGTGTTTGTTAGTATGATTCACTGGGTTTGGGATTTTCTGTCTTTCACTATGAGTTGCATTGTGTGTGTGGTGGGGAGTACACTAAGGGAGGCTCAGTTGTATACAGGTTGTGCAGTGACAATAAAGGTTTGAATTGGATTGAATTTATCCACATTAAACTCTGAAGAAATGCTGCTTTGTTCTTGTCATATAATTCCCCAACATGTTTCTACATCTAAGGACCAAATGTTGGCTGGTGACAACAAACAAAAGGAAGCATAAACATCTTCGCTTCTGATAATGTTCCTGAAGTCTTAATCACCACTTTCTCATCACACATTTTGTACCCCATAGAAACTTTGGGTAACATTTATCAACTGCTTGACTGTAATCTGGAAACACTGCAATTTAGTGATCAAGTATGTGCTCTGCACACAGAAACATTCATATTTAATTGTTGGGATTTCGAGAAAATGCTGGAAAACCTCTCGCCAGGAAATCTGATAATCCACTGCCAGATATTACAGACAACCCCAGACTAGATGCCCAATCAGAACTACCTTCTTTCATAAAGGATTTTGTGATTCAAATTGTGGGATGCAATCAGAGGCTAAGTGCCAGTGAATTCAGCGCAATATCTAAGGAGGCAGGTATTGGGTTGCATTTTTCATCATGGAGAAAAGCTACCTAGGCAGTCACTAAAGAGTCGACAATGACTTGATGGTATGTAATCATCATCATCACACTAGGGAACATAACATATCAGGGAGTATTTCATTTTGGGTACCCATTCACAGCTTCAATCATGCTTTGAAATTATGACTCAAAGTTGTAACCTCCAAAAGCACCTCCATCCCCAAATACAAATACTTGCCCTATAGCAGGGGTGTCAAACTCAAGGCCCAGGGACTGCACCTGGCCCATGGGGTGCTTAGATCTGGGCTGCGAGGCCACCCGGGAAACATCAGAGGACTGGCCTGCAGTGCCTCTGCAAGAAAAAATGAAGGGCTTCCTGAGGTCCATTTTTGCTGGCAGAGGGTTGCAATAAGTTGTCACAGCCGAAAATGGAGCTCAGGACCCTGTTTTCACTGGCAGAGCGCTCAGGCCACCACAGGTGCCCCTGACAACAAGTGATGTCAAGCTGGTCACACCCACCTGGCCACGCGTGGCACACCCACCCTGGCTATGCCCACCCCGGTCCCCCAAATACAACCTTGATGTAGCCCTCAATGAAATCGAGTTTGACAACCCTGCCCTATAAATATAACTTGCTCAGATTTCGTTAACAGATCCTCCATCAACCAGCCTATTTTGATTCTATGACCCTACATTAGAATGATCTTGTGCAGAAGCAAGCTTCTTCATAATACACCAACAAACGATCTGACATTTTGCCATTCAGCTAATTGGGAACAAATAAACAGACAGATGGATGCTTCACCACCAAGTTATAGACAGTAAATATCATTTCAATCCACTAGTCCCTGACCACAATGAAAATTAAACATACAAACCACCCATTCATGTGCAATTATTTCCTCACAAGTACTGTAATCTGGCTTTTTAAGCTTTTCAAATATACTCAAAGACCCTGCTTTCTTTCTAGCATGACTGGCTAAAATAGCTTTGCACACAATTTAAGCATATGCATGTATAATCAGGTGGAAACTTCCAGAGAAATACGACAAACTGAAGATGTCTCTGTAAAAGCAAAACTGATGTCCATGGTGAACACTAAGAAACCAGTCACTGGTTACTTGGAACCTCTCTGGATAAAGAGAGGGCAGGAGATTGCCCACATATTCTCTGAATAGCTGCACTTTGCAAGGAGACCAAAAGACAGTGATTTTCCATGGGTTTGACTGTTGGGAGACAACAGGATCAGCAATCTTGTGAACAACCATAACAAAACCTTTTAAAGCAGTGTCCCCCAACCTTTAGGGCTATGGGGACGAGGGCATGGTTCTGCATGCTACCTAAATCCCACGCATACACAGATGAACCTTCACTCACTTGCACTTGGTTCCTATTGGGTAGTTCATGGCCTGGGATTTGCGGACTCCTGTTTTAAGGGACCCCAGGTTTGTAAATCTTACTTTCTAATAACTTTTGAAAAATGCCTATTAACTCCCTTAAAGCTATTAGAGACCTTCCGAACAGTACTTTGGGATAATAGGTGAATTTATGTTGAACTCTAAACAAAAGAAAAATTAATTATAAGCTTAAGAAAGAAATTGAAACACAGAGCAAAAAGCTAAAACAATTTCGACCTAACAAAGTTATAAACAGATTAAAGATCCAGATAAATTTGGTCTATTGACTTTTACTACAAGATTTTAGAATTAATTATAAAAAATAATAATAAAAGCCTTCTCGGGGAAAACAAATTTGTTTTGGTTGTTGCAAGTTGCTAAATCATTTTATGCTTTTAAAGACTGGATACTAGATGGGATGAAAATTTCTAAGAATGAAGGAAAAATACCAACCTGCTTTTATTTATTGAGACCTAAAATGATGCACAATGATGAATGCCATGATGGATTTGCCCACTCATCAAACTTAGAGATACCCCAAAGCAAGCAAAATACTGGTCTATCTGTTAGTTTATAATCTAATAATTCCATTACTAGGTGTATGCAGAATCCTGGCCATTCTTAGAAATAAAATTTATGCTTGAAGATGTTTTGCAAAATACTAGCCTGTCATTTTATTTAATTAGAAGAATGTTTAAAACGAATTAGTTAGGTGAAGAACCTAATGAGCTTGCTACTCCGGGAACCCCATTTCTAGAAAAAAAAAAAAAAAAGCTCTTTTTGAGCAGCTTTCGTTTTCTGTTGAGCGACTTCTTTTGTATTGAGTTTTTTTACCGCAACAAGAGCAGAAAAGCCAGTTAGTAAGAAGCTGTCCATGGTCCTGAATTCCACAACTTCTACTTAAGAGATTAGGATAATTAATAAGAAAATGTCCTTGGACTGCCACAATGAAAAGTCACATCCTTGAGCTCTTGACTAAGAAATGTTTCTCATGGAACTTATAGTAGCTTTCAATTCTGAATACATAAAGAGATTGTATAAGTCAGAGTGCTACCACAAAGAAGACATACTTCCTATAGATCATCAGTGATATTTCCAATCATATATGACATACATCTATAATCATTAAAAAGCCTCTGAGAATAAATTCAGAAAATTCTTGTGTTATGATTCTTATTTCATTCAGATATATTTAAGGCAGTCATTTGCTGGATAGATGAGGAGCATGGTGGTTTGAATGCAGTATTGCAGTCTAATTCTGCAGACTGTCAAGGGTTTGATCCTTACTGGCTCAAGGTTGACTAAGCCTTCCATCCTTCTGAGGGCAGTAAAATGAGGACCCAGATTGTTGGGGGTGATAAGTTGACTCTATAAACTGCTGAGAGAGGGCTATAAAGTGATATGAAGCCGTATATAAGTCTAAGTGCTATTGCTATGATTCAAACAGAGGAGGCATACAACAGCCTGAAATCCTATTGAGATAGCCACTTCTGAATTGAGAAAAATCCCCA